GGGCGCAGTGGGGTTATGATGACGTTTTCCTTCTTCAGCAAACAATTAGAATTAGAATGAAGCTCATCTGGATCCAGCAGATTCTCATAGCTGTAGAGCTGTCAGTATAAGAACATGCAGAGGGTTAGAGTTTAACATCACGTTAAGAAAACCGATTGGATTCAATTTCAGATATTTTAAATTTTTCTTTTTTTCATTTGCCTTCCGAAGAGACTTGTTTGTCTGATTAAAATAACCTTTTACGCATAACTTTAAAGGAGATATTTAACATACCTGTCATTATTTCTGTAATAATTGTTTTCTTCCTATCAGCCTGGTGTATAATCTTATATCTGATCAAATTGTCTGTTTCATGTTTTGTCAGCAGAAATAAAGATTGCAATGAAAAAAAAAACCCGTCTGTAATTTACAATTTAGGGTAAAATACCGGCAGCTATGGCTGCGAATTTTACTTTACAAATATGGTAAAAACCGTATGCGGTATTCTATCGTAAATTAGACATTTTTTTACAGTGCTGAAAACATTAAATGTGTGGAATTATGTGTTTCACCTATTTTTTTTACTGAAAAAAATTTCTAATGAATTCTTAAATATATCTATAATATCCAACATATAACATCTAATTTTAATTATCAGCTCTAACCTATTGAGACATTTAAAAACAATAATTTAAAAAAAAATTAAAACAAGTGACAGCTTCAGTTTTGAATCTTACTTTTTTTTCCAGTTTCTTAGGCTAATAAAGAAAAAATATTTCAGAAAAGTTTGAGTAAAAATCAGGTAACATGAAAACTCATTGTAGGTTCCAACTAAAAAAAAAAATCTATTTTTTTAATGACCTGTTAGTCTAACTGAACTCTGTTTCCTTCAGACCCTTTATCACAATCACTCCTTTGCACAGTTTATTTAAATACATCCAGCATAACATGTAGAAGAGTGCTCATTCAGTTGCCGGCCTGCTTTTTTGCTGAGTGATTTAGGATTCTGCGGGGATTGGTTGGCTATTATCAACATTTTCCTGTCAAAGTAAAGCGGCGCGTGTTTTTCATTTCCACATCTGAGGACATCTGACATTTTCTGGTCCACATAAACCCGAATGCTGGCTGGACTCCAGTCACACGACCCTTCTGGTAACAACACGCACGTTGTTTGGAATGACAGGAGAAAAGCATTACTGAAAATATATTTAATAATTAAACATAGCACAGTTACATAAAAAGGAATGCAAAACAGACGAGTAAAAGTGGGTCCTTAGAAGGTGAAAACAGACCTACTGCAAAGGTTTGAGCTCCTTCCTGAACAGCAGCAAGTTCATCATGAGGGAACGCAAAAAAAAACAAAAAAACACACGGCTGCTTCCTGGAGCATATCAGGTCTCTTGGAAGCGTTCTCCTAAAGGAGCGCTGAGTGTCCCAGCGGTTCCATGAGTCCAGCTGAATTACTTCACTCTTCCTGTGTGTTCTCGAAGTGAGAGCTTGACCCCTCGGACTGATGGTCGCCGTCGGCAACAGATCGCTCCTGCTCAGAGAGCTGCTCGCTGCTGGGGATGGAGTTCTTCTTTGGTCGGCCTTTTGGCTTGGTGGGGGACTCCAGTCCTCCTCCCTGTAGAACCTGCAGACAGAAAGAAGAAGAAGAAGAAAAAAAAAATCAGGTTTGTGTTGATGGAAATGATCACCCACAATGCAAAAACACAAAATCTTACCAAGCATTTCTGATGCAGTTTTTAGTGCAAATATCTTAGTGCACTTGAAATAAAAACTAACTTATAAGTACATTTTCAGCAAGATGTAGAAGCTTGTTTTAAGGAAATAATTCTTTAATATTGATTTAAAAAAAAAAAAAGTATTAGCTCCATTAGCAGATTATTTCACTTATAACAAGCCATTTTTCCCTTTTAAGTGAAATAATCAGCCAGTGGAACTCAAACTTTTACATCAATATTACAGAATTTTTGACTTTAATCAAGCTTCTATATCTTGCTGAAAAATTACATGTAAGTTTTGTCTTATTTCAAGCGTACTAAGATATTTGCACTAGAAACTAGCACAAAAATATTTGGTTAGATTTTGTGTTTTTTGCAGCACTGCATAGTTGCCATTTCAAGATTCTTTTATTTTCCTTTTGTTTTCCTCAAAAACATCCTCAGTTCTCTGGTATTTCACCAACCACAAAAAACACACTCTGCTGCTGATATGAGAATGTGAAATTTCAAGGTGAAACAGATTTCTGTGGTCAGCAATACAGAGCACCAATATCATCATCATCACCACAGTCATCATCATCATCATCATCATCATCATCATCATTATCATCAGGGCACAACTTACAATTTTCTTCCATTTCATCCTCCTGTTCTGGTACCAGGTTTTCACTTGCAGCTGACTGAGGCCCAAAGACTCAGCCAAATCTATTCTGCAAGGAGCAAAACACACACAGACGCTTTTCAGTATTCAATATTTAACATATTAATAAAACATGTGCTTTAGAAAATCAAGTAATGACGTAAATATTTTAAGAGTTTTTCTGTATTTCTAAATGCTAAACCTGCAGATTCCGTGTAAACACGCAGCAGCTCAAACGTCAAGGCCTTCGTGTTTTCTTTCACTTACTTTGTTTTAAGAGTTTATATTTTGCAATTAAAAACTGTACCTAAAGTCAAAGAATGTTCCTATATCACAAATCAAGCCTAACTAACTGCTACAGGACATTTTGGATGTAAAGACCTAAATATCTTAAGGCAACACAGTTCAGTTCAATCAATCTAAAAGGAGCAACTTCAACGTTCCCTCTTTGGATTGTTTTTCTGTTTCTAAAAGTTACAGGGAAATAACATAAAACAGTAACAAATTCAAATTTAATCAAACTAAAGATTGCAAAAAAGAAATGAGAACACAAGACGTTATGTTACAGACACCCTGTGCCCGGGTAAAAACTGGACCGTTTGGTCCAAATCCGCCAAAAATAAGTTTGATTTCAGCAGAAAGCCTTCGTTTACAAGAACAAAACATCTAGAAAAAAATCTGTTATTTTACAAAGTTCTGGATATTTTTTATTACATGTCCATAATAAGTGCTTGTCTTTAACTTTTTTTAAGACGATGTTTGCTTGTTTTATGATTAAGGTGGCCGTCTGTGTGCCAGTCTTGACATGAACCGAACCGTGAGTATGAATAAAGGAACCGGATCCTGAGCCCGAACCTCACACTTCATATTTCTAATGAATTACTGATGAATACATGTAAAACCCTGAATAATATCAATTTACGCAAGGCGAGGTCTAAATCGAATCCACGTAAGTCATTTGTCATATTCAAATTGCTTTATTAAATAAAAATTGCACTTCATGTTTGAGGCTCTCTCTCTCCCTCTCTCTCTCATTTTTTATTTTTACTGCTGACTACAGCAAAAATATTTGGAAAAATATAAGTTGAAAAAGAGAGGAAAGGTAAAACAACAGCCGCCATGTTTATAGCTATGTCCAATTTAAACTTAAGAACTATTGGACAGGTTTGTTCCTTGATTTATTTCAAGCTGAAAGTGCGGAGGTCTGAATAAGGGAATGTTCTCTCTGTTTCTCTCAGTCTTTAGTTCCCCCAGACGAAGATGAATATGGACCAAAATGTCTGAGCTGAAGCCTACCGGCTTTGGGTGAAAGCCCAGGAATGGACGCACCTGTCCGGGGTGGAGAGGTACTTCTGCTTCTCGAAGCGCTTCTCCAGGCCCATTAGCTGCAGCTCGGTGAACACGGTGCGACTCCGGCGACCCTTCTTGCTCTTCCCGCCGCCGTCGGCTCCGTGCTCCAGCTTGCCGCGCAGGTGCAGGTCAAGCGGCAGGTGGTGGCTGGCGGGTCCGACCTGCAGGCCCGGAGCGGCGGACAGAAGCGGGGAGCCGAGCGCGGAGCCTAGCGTGCAGGACAGCGGGGACAAGGGGAACTTGAGGAGGTTCGCCTGGTCGGCTTTTAGCACTGCGGCGGCGTGGGAAAGGAAACATTAAGGTCGAGTTTAAAAAGCAGCTTCTTGAAGGTAAACTTTAGGTCAACAGACGAGTTTTACAATGACCCCCCCTCGAAAGTGGAACTCAACAAATGGTCGTCCCTTTATAATGTATTACTAGCACTTGCTGCCGCTAATGTTTAAACGGTATTTTAAGACTTTTATGTTTTACTGACATAGAAATGACAATTTAACCTTATTAATCTGCTTTGAACTGAACCTATCAGAGACGTCATGGAATCACAGAGTCTCAGAAACAAGGCAGATATCAAAACGTGCTTTCATTTTTCATCGCTTTGGTGTTTTTCAGAAAATAAAAGCACAGATTAATGAAATCAGTTTATAGCAGCGAGCCTCTATCCTGCGCAGTGCACGCGCTCACAGCTGAAAAATAAAATGTAAAACCAAAGCTAAAAATTCAAGCCGTGGTCACATTGCTCAGACTAAATATTGGAGTATTTAATAAGCATAAACATCGAGGAATTTAATATTATTTCTTTGAAAAAGCTAAACTGTTTTCACAGTGATAACCAAAATACGGGACCGTCGTAAATAAATAAGCCGCTACTCTGAAAGATATTTAAGATAATCACAATTTTACAAAACTGAAAAATAATAATTAGCAACATTTGCATTTTACTCATTAAAACTTTCTGAATAGTTTTTGGAAATCTCAACTTTTTTTTCTTTTTCTTTTCTTTTTTTTTTTTACACAATTTTGCGTATTGATTTGACAGATAAAGAAGCTGGATTAAAGACAACAATCCAAATTTCTATCCGAATAACATCACACAGGATTAAGCTAAAACAATATGGGGGACACAATCTCTTGTATTTGCTGATAAAGGATAACATTTGGAACATTGATTAAAAAATCTACAGCTCTAACTGAGTTTTTCTTTTTCTTTTTTAACCAGTCTACTGGGTGTAAGGCCGAGCCCGTCTACAGTGTTCTCCATCTCACCCAGCTGACTGTGAAACGGCCGGGCGGACAGAAGAGCCTGCACCCCGAACTTGAGCAGCTCTCCGGCCGGCGCCGATGTTTTATGCTCCGGGTGATCCGTCAGAATTTCCTCTATCATGAAACTCCTGTAGCGGTGAGTCCTGTGGTCCGGCTGGACGTCGGGCGGGTAGTAGTGGGCGCCCATGTCCAGCGGGTGCTGCATGCTTCGACCCGTGCCTGTTCGACACTTAAAAAAATAATAAAAAAAAGAAAAAGAAAAAAGCGCGGACACGGATGATCGCTCCCTCAGAGGCCCGAGTCACAAGTCATTTTTCCTCCGCAGCATCGAGTCTGCAGCTCGGAGATGCCAAACACAGGCAGCCTAATCTCCAAAGTCCTCTGATGGAGATTTAATCTTCTTCTCTTTTTTCCCCCCAGATATTCCCCCCCCCTTTTGCGGAGGAATCTTACAGCCGATGGCGATCACTTGGCTTGAGTCCGGAACCTGTGCATGGCCTGCTGGGGGTTGTTCCTGCGGACCGCGGAGCCCGGCACCTTGGTAGTGAGATCGGGAATAAGCCTTTTGGAGTTAAGTGTTCCGTCGTGGCTCCACCCTCCTTCCCTCTCTCCCGCCCGGGATTTGCCCTTGCAGCTTTCTGCCTTTGTCGCAGTTAAACTTCCATGCAAAGGCACACTTGTCCTGCGTGGACTTATTCAAAACAGAGGTAAATGAGGACTCGGAGCAAGGACACTTGAAGCAACTTCAACTCGGAACTCTTAGCCTGATGATGGTGATGGTGGTGAGCAGGCTGAGAATAGAGAAGCTGCTCCTAAAAGGAGAAAATGATCTATAAAAAAAATGTTTGTCATTAATGAGTTGGTCTATTTCTGGCAGTGCAACAGTCAGAGTTAGTGGGTTTTATAATCCATCTTGAATCATTGCCCTAAAATTTCAGTAAGACTTGTAACTTACTTGAAGTTGACAATCAGATTAGCTACTTTAGATTTAGAAAACTCACTCCACACGCGTAAAGTTGTATCAAGGTTTCTATAAGCAAAATAAAACACAGACTACACTAAGTTAGAAAACTAGAACATTGAAGAATAAAGGATAAAGACCACCTAAGAAATCGAGGATGAAATAAGAAATCTCGTAGAATTAATTAATATTAGTCCATGCTGGGGCGCACATTGCCTCACAGGGGAAATAGACCATTTTCAAAATTACATCACATAAATTCCAATTCTTTCCTGTGTGTCACTTAGCAAAATGACAGCAGGTGTAGACAATACTGTTTGTACATTTCAGCTGCAGAAAAGATTTTTAGATGCTGACATTTGGTAGAGTTGGAATATAAGCAGGGTGTCATTAAAATAATTGCCAAGATGTTTAAAATTCTTTTATAAAATATTATTGCATCCACATCCTGTTTTCTGGACGTTAATGACTGGTAGTGGGGGATCAGTCCACAAGGGGGCAGTAAAGGATCTGCTACTTGCTGGGTCAGTGGTGATGCCAAGGTCTGCTGTGTTGTTATAAAAGTGTGATTGTCTCTCCAGAGGCCTATGATTGATGCTGTAGATCTAGTCTAAAACAGATGAGGCACTACGGGCCATGGCAGCCATGTATAATGACTAAATGTAACTGGCGTAATTGTCAGACACCTAAAGCAACAACAAAAGATACCAAATATCTTAAATCTTAAAAAAAAAAAAAAAAAAAAACATGTCTTCTTTGTTCAAAAATACTTAGACGTATCTGGTTTTGAAGTGATCCTGAAGGCAGCATTTGTCTCCATTATTTATATTCCATCTCAGAATATATTCCATCTCAGAAAAAGGCAACTTATAAGATCAGGCAGGACAGCTTTGTTACTGGAAGCAGTTTGGACGTTGCTTTTTTTTATATTTTTGACAAGACTCCAAAGTATGGCGAGTAGATTTCCTTAAGAAGATCTGGAATACCAGTTTGTGTCACTCGTACACAGATTATTGCTGGACCATTTGTCCCAAATCTTCTGAGTAAATAATTCCTTATAAAAAAAACCCCAACAAAAACAAAACAAAACAAAACTGAAATAAAGAAGATGAGACAAAAAGACAAAGGCTAAAGGTTTGTACTGTCTATATTAAATTATAGGTCTCACATTATGAAAAAGAAATCCATTCTCGACAGATTACAGTTGATGTTGGTCACACACACTGTCTTGGATGTGTGTGTATTACACACACAAACATCCAACTTGATTGAGTGACTCCATCTAACAGTGCTTGGTCATTAATTTTTTCCACAGCCAGTGAACCAATGTAAAGCAGAATGGGCCACAGTTCAGCTAAATTATCGGAGAGTCTAATCAAGGATGAATGGATAGATAGATAGATAGATAGATAGATAGATAGATAGATAGATAGATAGATAGATAGATAGATAGATAGATAGATAGATAGATAGATAGATAGATAATATTTTGTCCGGATACATACTTTTTTTTTTACTATTGCTGCATAAAAATAATTATGAAACGAAACCTGATATTATTTGTGCGCTGTGATGGAAACCATCAAACAGACGTGGTTCCCAGTGAATAAACTGCTGAGCTGAGACCGAGATCACGTGGTGCCTCTGGACCGTTATCCCCGTCAGGTTGCTAGGTAGGCTAGTTAGCTAGCTGACCAAATGATGTGGCCGCTAGGACGGAGCGCTTTGCAACCCGCCAGCGTTAACATAACGGCGGCTTCGGGGAGATGACGAGACTATGTCAGACACTGTAAAAATTTCCCCGCTCAAGGACGACACGAAAACGGTAATTCTGGACATTTTTTTCTTGATATCCTCTTGGTTAGCCGGAGCCTGGGCTTTTGAAGTACAGTAAGCTAATTAGCTAACGCTAAGTCTTCAGCTTGCAGCATCAGCACCAGGACACAAATGGAGCTGCTGCTGCAGCACTGTCATGAAGATGAGTTCAAAAAGGGCCACCGCGTAAAGACTGGGCGTCAGTTATCTGCAGGGTTATTACACGGTGTTGTCAGAAGCTGATAAAAACAGCACTGAGGGTCCGGACAGGTTTACTGCCCGGTCCACACAGTGTTGAGTCGCTGACAGCCCAGGACGCTCATCAGTGGTTTCCTCTCAGCTGTACTGCATGTTTTGCTGACTCCGAGTTCATTTATTTCGGTAGTTGAGTTCAAAAAGTGAAACTAGTATTCTAAGTATTATTTACAAACAGAGAGATATATTTCAAAGATTAATTTCTGTTGCTTTTGAGGATTGTAGCTAATGAAAACCCAAAAGATATAATATCTGCTCTCAGCCCAGGCTTCTTTTCTGTGAATTACTGCATAAATGCAGCGTGGCTGGGAGGAGATCTACCTGTGGTTCTGCTGAGGTGTTCCAGAAGTCCAGCTTGTATTGTTGGCCCCCATCAGGTATTAGAACCTGGAAACAAATACCGTGTCTCTATGAAGGTTGTCAGCAAAGAGAACCTGAAGTGCCCTCATATGTCCTAGTAGCAGTTGCTCTGACTTTGAAATAGGGGTGCACCAATTGCAGTTTTCTGGCCAATCACCGATTACCGATCTTTAAAAAGCCTGACCTGCTGATTCCAATTTTTTTTTTGTTTGTTTTAAATGTCACTAAATATAGCAAGAAAGTCGGGACTTGACAACTAGCTCTCTATCCTCGACAAAGACGGGAGCATTTCTCCACCCGTTACCCACTTGGAGCCGCGTTTTATCATACTGAGGCAACGCTCCTTTTCTATCCTATGTGTGTCTTCCAGATAAGTATGATTCAATCGCCAAATGCATTCACGTGTTCTTCTTAATTTTTTTTAATTTTTTTTTACTGCCGGTTGGCAAGAGGGTGGTAACCAGCCACACAGTAGGTTGTTGCTCAGATGATGAACTGTTTCATGTCATTGTGCAGACTCTTTTCTCTGCCCAAGTACTTTGTTGTCTGATCAGGTCCCCTCCAGACACATTGGCATAAATTAAACATGGTGAGAGAAACATCATCTCGTCGGGCATATATTTCTTCCGTAGCACTCACAGGAAATGACTCTCGCATCGACTCCTGCCACGCTCATTAGGAGCGTGGCAGGAAACTCTCAGCTTTCGCACCATCTCTCCTAAGTCCTCCCAGCGGACATGAGGGTGTGGAGCAACAGTGAATGTGAGCAGCACCGTGGTTGGCATGTCCCCTACTAACAGTACTGTAGAAATTAACTGTTGTTGCTGCATTGACTAAGTTCAGAGTTTTTAATCTGCTGCACGTGCGTCACATTTGTGAGGAAGAATGGCTTAATTGTCATCAGGAGCTCCACATGAACAGTGCCAAGTGATGTCAGGACCCTTCTGACCTGTAGGAAACACCTCAGCCAGTCTTAGATCAGCCCTCAGTGCCATATCAGTTTTTAAGGAGAAGTGTGGATTACATCTTGAAAGAGAAAAAAAAGTGGAAAAAAACTCCCCTCCACAGGCTCTAACTTTACATGGTTTATTATTTATAGAGTTCAGGAGCGTAACTCTGGGCACAGGTAGTGATGTAACGCCAGCTGGATCGGAGGTTGGTAAAGATAGCTTTCAGTAGGAGTCCATCACCTCTTCACAATATAAGATGGTTAAAACAGCAAACAAAATGTTCTGATGCAAACAAAGATGTTAGCATCTTGCTAATATTACAGAATATTCTGTAGCAATATTTTGCAAATATTGCTACAGAAACTTTTCTGTAACAATATTTAGTCCTCTGTATAGAACTGGACAGAACTGGGTTGGACAGAGTGGGAATCCAACTGGCAACTCGCCAAATGCGGGACAAACTCCTACCACTGTTGCCACTGTCGTCCCATGGTACTGTTGGCTCCTTCCTGATTGGCCTCACTGCAAAACAGAAAATCTTACAAAGTGGTCTAATTTCTAGTGCAAATATCTTAGCACACTTGAAATAAGAAAAACTAACTTACAAGTACCTTTTCAGAAAGATAAAGAAGCTCGTTTTAAGTCATTAATTCCTTAATATTGATGGAAAAAGTACTTGTTCTATAGGCAGATTATTTTACTTATACCATGGAAAAATGTTTTGTTAAGCGAAATAATCTGCCAATGGAATTAGTATCTTTCATGAATATTAAGGAATTAATGACTTAAAACAAGCTTCTATATCTTTCTGAAAAGTTACTTGTAAATTAGTTTTGTCTCATTTCAAGCATACAAAGATATCTGCACTAAAACCTAGATCAGAAATATTTGGTAAGATTTTGTGTTTTTGCAGGGCTGTTAGTCATTTTCCAGGACAGGAGTCTTTAAATCCAGGCCGTCAGGGCCTGTACTGCAGGTTCTGCCTCGTGGTTCAACACACCTCAACCAAATGACTGAACAACCTCCTCAGTTTGGAGTGAAGTTCTCCAGAGTCTTGTTAATGATCTCATTACATGACTTGGGTATTTTGGGGCAAAGATGCTTCTAAAACCTCGAGGACTGGATTTAATGATCCCTGATCTCAGCAGATCTTCAGTTGGTTCATCCTCCAGCTACAGGTGGACTTTATTCAATAGTTTGGTGAAGGTAATTGGTTGTACTAGATATTATTCATCATGTTCACTCAACAATTTTAGAATTAAAACATACAGATTGTTTTGTGCATTGTTTAAGGGGTGTGAATATGCTGCACATCCATCATGCCACTGTGCTGTTTGACTATACTCGTCTGATCGACTGAACCAAAGAGGAAACAGCTGGCAGAGGTCAAAGAAATGTTTGTTATTTCCAACGGTCCAGATCCATCCTTAACGGATCACTGGATCCGACAGGTGCTGAATTTCACTCATGCAACACTGAACATGCAGAGCCCTGATTGGAGTTTCACTGCATTA